TGAGGCAGTAAGTTCTTCTGAGGGACCTTTATGGGAAGAAGCCATAAACAATGAGGTTGATTCAATTTTACAGAATCATACTTGGGAGCTTGTTGATCTCCCACCCGGACAGAAACCATTAGGATCTAAATGGATCTTTAAGAGGAAAATGAAACCTGATGGTTCCATTGATAAATACAAGGCCAGGCTTGTAATCAAAGGGTATAAACAACAAGAAGGTTTAGACTACTTTGATACATATTCTCCTGTGACAAGAATAAATTCTATAAGGATGATACTTGCTATCGCAGCCTTAAGGAATTTGGAAATACATCAAATGGATGTTAAAACAGCTTTCTTAAATGGAGATTTAGATGAAGAAATCTATATGGAACAACCTGAGGGTTTTCGAGCTCCAGGAACAGAAAAGAAAGTTTGTAAACTAGTAAAATCCTTGTATGGTCTAAAGCAAGCACCTAAAAAGTGGCATGAAAAATTTGACCATGTAATGATTACTAGTGGATTCAAAATTAATGAGTGTGACAAATGCGTTTATGTCAAGGAGATAGAAAACGATTATGTCATATTATGTCTATATGTAGAAGATATACTCATTGTTGGTAGTAGTGACAAGTTGGTCAAATCTACCAAGAACATGTTAAACTCTAAGTTTGACATGAAAGACATGGGTCTAGCTGATGTGATTTTAGGTGTTAAAATCATAAGGACAACAGATGATCTAGTTTTGAGTCAAGCCCATTACATAGATAAAATTCTTGATAAGTTTAACAAGAATGATTCTGGGATCGCGAAAACACCATTAGATAACAGTGTCCATTTATCCAAGAATCATGGACAGGGTATATCTCAGGTGGAATACTCTCGGATAATAGGAAGTCTGATGTATCTAGTGAGTTGTACTAGACCAAATATTGCTTATGTGGTAAGCAAGTTGAGTTCATACACGAGTAATCCCAGTGTTGAACACTGGACTGCTATAATTAGAGTACTGAGGTATCTAAGACATACTCGTGATTATGGACTGCAATATACCAGATATCCATCTGTGTTAGAAGGTTACACGGACGCCAATTGGATATCTGATATAAAGGACTCACACTGCACAAGTGGCTACGTGTTTACACTAGCTGGAGCAGCTGTGTCGTGGAAATCCTCAAAACAAACTGTCATAGCCAAATCCACAATGGAATCCGAGTTCATTGCCTTGGATAAGTGTGGTGAGGAGGCTGAATGGCTACGCCATTCTTTGGAGGATATTCCAAAGTGGGAAAAACCTGTGCCACCTATCAGTATTCATTGTGATAGTCAATCGGCAATTGGAAGGGCACAGAGTACTATGTATAATGGTAAGTCGAAACATATTCGTCATCGACACAATACCATTAGACAACTCCTCTCAACAGGAATTATCACAATTGACTACATGAAGTCAAAGGATAATCTTGCGGATCCGCTAACCAAAGGGTTAAATAGAGAGGCATTTGAAAGATTGACCAACGGAATGGGTGTAAAGCCTGTGAAGAAATAAAATTCTTAAGAAGGAAAACCCAACCTAGTTGACTGGAGATCCCAAGATCTAGGTTCAATGGGACAACCTAATCATAAGACTTAGTAGGGTCACTGTGGGGGTAAACCTCAACTCATTCCTGTCATCAAACAGTGATATGACAGAAAGGATAGCAAACGGTTGCTTTAATGATACTTATGTGAGTAATTTCATTTACTCTAGACTTAAGAAGTCACCTATGTGATAGAGAAGTGGGGCCGCTTCAAAGGAGAACTGTTAAGGCTCAGTTCTTTAGAAACTCTTGCAGAACCAGGACATGTTCATGGCCAAAATGGACAAAACCATGAGAACGGAACAAAATAGAAATGGTTCTTGTGTACGGTATATTGGTTTCTCTACACAATACAGCTGGACAGTTCAAGGACAGCTAATAAGGCAAACATACTTTGCTAGGAGGAAGTTCAAAAGGTAAAATCTACTTTCTCTATGCAGGGATCAGTTGGTGAACACCATCATCCTTTAATCGAAACAATATCTCATTCATGTGGGGGATTATTGGAAAAGAGTGAATGAGAATTAAGTTTCTCAAGAGTTGAAAAAATTTAGAGTTAAGGCTAAGGGACTTTGTCCCACATGGGTGTTGGAAAGAGTTGGAGCTTACTTTATAAGTGAGAGCCCAAAATTGACTTGCAAGTTGACTTGCCAATACTAAACCACATCTCTCCTGCTCGCGTGCGCCCGCGCAGGGGGGGTGCAAATGGAGGTCCGATTCGGGGCCAAAATAGCTTGACTCATGTGTGCGCACGACCTGCGGACACGAATGCCGGACCGAGCTCTAGCGGGCCTGATCAACCCACATTTTGCTACGGTTTAGATTAATTTTTTCCAGCTAAAATTTTAATGTGGAGATTTATGTTCATTCATTCCAGTCAAAGAGAAAACTGAAACATTGTTGTTGAATGAGCAAATGAATGGCGGATTTAATACTGTTTAAATGGCAGAATGAATTCTGTTGACTGTTCGATTGTCAAAAACGTTTTGGCTGTTTATGTGCCATGAATTCGTGACAATTAACAGAATTAAAACACCAAAACCATTTGAAGTTTTGCTGCCATTTCAAAGGTTTCTCCAGCCTATAAATAGGTACTCATTTTTCAAAGTTCAACACACCAATCCTTCCTCCTCTTTCAGTATTCTTTCGAGCCTTTCTTTCCTTCTCTTTCAGTTTCTGGTGTTCATCATCGTGTTCTAGGTTTCGTTCGCTGGTAGAACTTCTTTGTACTAAGTAATATCTACGTTTCCGTTGTATCCTGGGAAACAGTTGCTCGAGATCCTCAAGCACCTTAGGAGAGGGCAAATCTGTTTTAAGGAAATCGTGTTTTCACGAGCCTCGGATTTCTTTTTTTTTTTTTTCCATTTTTCCTTAGCCTTTGCGAATACTACCTATATTTTTTACCAACAGTCTTTACATAAAAATATATAGGATCATTAACTTGTTTGTTTCTTGTGTGAACAGTTGAAGGGGATGAAGCTTGAAGGATGCATACCTCGTTCCTTGAACTATATATTTTGGTTTTAGAAACGTTACTATTTTTATTACTAGGCAGTAGGGGTGTTCACGGTTTGGGTCAAACCGATGGAACCGCCCAATCCGGTCATCGGTTCGGTTTAGCGGGCGAATTTTAATTGTATTTTTAAACCGGCGGATTGAAAAATCAAAAACCGGTCATACCGGTCCGGATTACGAATTGACACTTTCAAACCGTTTGTCAAACCGGACCGGACCGTATATATATATGATTATTAATATATAATCATTTTTGTATATATAGAGACGGATGATGACTTGTATTAAAAATGTTAAGTTGACTCATTGGTATTATTATTTCCCCTACTTTTACATATGCTGGAGGTCGCGTGTTCGAGTCCCTCTATTCACAAATTCTTTTTTTCCTCCCATTTTCCCCCAAACAGGCCGAAAGAAGGCCCAAAAAAATTCATGAAAAACCCTCAAAAAAGGCCGAAAAAAGGTCCCATAACAAAAAAAAAGTTTAATTTTTGGCCCAAAATAGAAAAGTCCAATTAGAAGTCCAAACCGCCAATCCGCCCAAGCCAAACCGTTCAAAACGGATTGGATTGGTCCGATTTATACATCAATCTGGTCCGGTTACGGTTTCAAAAATTATAAAATCATAATGAACGGTTTGGTTATGGATTACGGTTAATCCGAACCAATCCGAACCATGAACACCCCTACTAGGCAGATGAAGCATCTTTAATTTCCTATCACACCGATACGTTATATTGTGGGCTTTTCTTATTTTATTTTTTTTAAAAAAATTTTGTCCTGTTTTGGTGCAGAGAGCACAACGGAAAGAACTTGATGTTCTTAGGGAACATAAAATTCTATGTTGACTGTTGAGACTCATACATAGGCGTATGCCTGTGGATTGATCAATGAAACCAAAATGTAAATCAACCCCAGCCCCAAGGGACTTTAAAATGACAAAATTCAAACGAGCACCAACCGTGAAGGAAAACATAAAAAGAAGAAAAAATTAGACCCAGCCGGTACAGTTCCTCTGTCCCATTTTTTTCGGTCACACTTCCTGTTGTACAATTCAATTATTCTTTATAAATAATATAATTTTTTGTAATGCATATATCATAAATACATTTTTTCAATGTAGATTATTTTCATATTACTATTTTATTTTTTGTGTCAATATTTTTATTTTAATAAAATTTATCTATTTTACTGATTTTTTAAACCATGAAACTTAAAATATATAAGACTTAATCCGAAAAAAGTGAACTCTTTACTTTTAAAATATATATAATTTTAAAAATGATTGTGAATAGTATAATATTAACACAAACAACAATTTATGCGACGTTATTGATTGATGCAACCGAGAATGTCACATAGAGAGGATCGTGCCCGAACGAACGGACACCATGTCTTCGGCCTGATTCTAAGAGTTAAAATCTTAAAAATTGAACAACATGGGGTTCAGCTCGATTGAATGGGCCAATCATCAATTGAAGTTTTCCGATTTTGTTCTTGGACCTCCAAAAGAACCTGTTTTGGGAGCTGGACCCATACTAAGATTATCAATTGATGTAATTGCTTATTTTGTGGGTTCTTATGATTATTGGACATTTCAATCCAATTAGAACGAGTTGAGATCGCCAAAACTAGAACAGATATCTTCACTTGTAGTACATGCAATTTATACAACAATATAGAAGTAATGAAATATGAAAACAACATAAATTCTTTTTTTTTTTTTTCCTTTTCATAATAAAGAGAGTTTCAAGCCTTGAAAACACATTCAGAGAAATTACTACACGTCAAAAAAAAAAAAAAAAATTACACAACACTCATGTGAGCCTTACTTAAACTTAGAAAATCCACTTGTACATATTCATGATAGAATTCGGTACATGGACATCTCGAGAATCCAATAAGACGAGGGATAATTAATACTCCCAAAAAAACATACATCACATTAAATTTCAAAATTTGTAGTAAATATAATAAATTTTAAAACTCAATGTGAAATAATTTAAGGCGCTGAGAAATATACGACCATGACGAAGATGACGAGGGACAAAGTGGTTGGCCAAGCATTTTTAACAGAAGTGGTCGGAGATAACCATCTCGAGCTGCAACTGGGAGTAGTAGTGCTTGAATGGAACTGATGAAACAGATCAGTAGTCGAAGGTGTCCCTTGCCCTCCTTCCATATTTGGCACTTGGGATGGGTCATCACTTTTAGTATTACCATCCGTCGGCGTGGGCGGAGGATACCACGGCAAAATTGGTGGGAAATAGTCAGGGTACTTTGGTGGAGGCGGTGCATTCTGGGGGATGATTTTCCAAAGCGGGATATCTTTCGATGGTGGTGGCTCATTACCATCTCCTCCTTCATTGGGCGGCGGCGGGGGGGGAGGCGCATCACCTGACGGAAAATCAGAATTACTACCACCACTGTCGCCACCTCCTCCGGCGTCACTAGTGGCCGGAGGAGGCGCATCACCTGACAAACCGTCAGAATCACTACCAACACTGATGTCGCCGCCTCCGGCGTCACTGGTGGCCGGAGGAGGCGCATCACCTGACGAGCCATCAGATTCAGCTGTAGTACTAGAAGCTGTTATGATTAACAGATACATCACGACAAAGCAAAAAACAAATTTATAAAGAGGGCTCTGCATTTCTTCATCTATATATAACTGATAAAATTGTGTTCGAAATGGGATACACAAAACTGCCATTTCTTCATCTATATATAGTGATTACAAATGATACAATCGGGCTATACAAAGTTACAAACTATAAGAAGTCCGACCGGGTCAATCTTTTCAATTATGTGATATGAACAAATCAAAGAAATTGGTGAATAAGTTTATTACCACTTGTCTTATTACGTACGTAGCTAGTTGGTTCAATCTCTGATCAGTGGTAAGTAAGTACCCTACTTATTTGATGATGGGTTCCAGGCGGATTAATGCATGTCTGCCCCCCAAATTAATGAGTAATGTATGTGTAAGGAAATATTCATGCATGCATTCATGCAAATTGTCCATTCTTTCTGAGCATTTATTGTGCCACCAGTAGTATAGTAGTTCTCATGGTTTCCAAATGGATCAGCTATGAACCGGCAGCCTATCTCTAGTCTTCTAAAATGGCAAGTATCAAACTCTAATTGAAGTTACAGCGCACAAATGAAGCTAACTTAATTGGTTCTCCGTCTATGTTTTATAAATAGAACCGTCGAGAGGATCAATTACAATTACAGTTTATTATCGCATGTGGATGTAGTATATATTTTGATATTTTAAACAAGACCAATATTTTTCAAGTTCCTTGTAATATTTATTTCTTTAAATTTATTTTGACCATAAACAACTGATTGGCAATTTGCATGCTATTTCTTTCCACTTGTCTTACTCTTACCTACAAGGGTGGAGCCGTATAATGGTGAGGTGGGGCAATTGCCCCAGCACAAAATTTTCAAATTACTATTGATATACTGAAAGTTTAAAATTATCAATGAATCGCCTCCACGTAAAACAACAATTGAATAGTTTAACTTGTAAAAAGCAATTTATCAAAATTTCATCATCACGCAGGTCAGAGAAACCATCGGTTTGCTGCTGTGAATTTTGTTGTGGGAGGGAGCACTCTCGCAGTGATTCTTTGAGGACGACGAACTAGAATTTGTTTAAAGTTTTAACCAAAGGGTCAACTGATTTTTGTAGTTGGGTTAATTCTTTCTACTATATTGTCCTAATGGAAAGATATTGTTTTGACAATAAATGCTAAATTGTCCCATAAAACAAAGAGTACAACCTCTTTATTGTTTTTTACTTTTTGTTCTTTTCTTTTCCTTTATTTTTTATTTTTAGATTAATAGTATTTTTGCTCTTCAAGCCTTATATATTAAAAGAGTAATATTTCAGGTCAACTTGAGCGTTATGATCTAATCTATATATATATATATATATATATATTAATAAATGATAAAAATAGTTTACTTGACATGAAATTGGAAGCTCACTTAAGTTGGATGTAAAAAAAAAATAGATTTAATCGTGATTACAGTGTATCATAACCGTAGAAAATAACTTTATTTTAACTTTCTGCAATAACCTCTTAAAATAAGTAATCTGATAATAAAAGCTCAAATAGAGTCCAAGTTATCCTAGATTACTCTTATTCTAAATCTTATACGGGATTTGTTAAATATTGTTCTATTTAAACTCCATGACAGTAAACAGTTCAAAACAATCATGTACTTCTCTCTGTTTCATTTTTCTTTAAAACTTTTGATCTTTTCTTAGAGTTTTCTTTTTTATTCAACGGGTTCCTTTTATACAGATATTTTTTTTATTCAATACAGGTTTATGGTCAATACTGGCACTCTCAATGGATGTGAGTACATGTGCATAGTGCTAGAAAATATTACCTGTGATTACAGTGAGATTCATTATATATAAAAAAATAAAGTGTCCAGGGAATCAAGGGTCCATTTCTTCATCTGAGATTTCGTACTCAATGGAAGAAAGAGAGAGTTTCCAAAGAAGTAATTTAGGTTATGGAAATTGAAGAAAAAAATTAGAGGTGATTTTTCCTAAAAGTCCCTCAACGTAAACCCATCATCTCACAACCATTGAAAGTTTGACTTGAAAAGATGCAATCGTTCGTCTCTGTTATACCTCTAGTTTGGATTCTGGAGTTCTATTTGGTGTAGTTTCGAATCCAATTTCTTTCAAAAGAATAGTATCACGCCTTTAGTAGATGGAATTTAAGAAAATGTGGAAGCATATGTATGCTAAACCTCACGCTTTCTGTTCAGCTACGGCCTTCAAGACAATATTGCCAATTAAGGGAATTTATTTTATTTTATTATTTTTTTTATATTTTACTCTATATATTCACCTTTCTCATATCACAAATATAAAATAGACAATGAAAAATATTCATCTTAAAAATTTTCTCACATGAAAAATAAGAGTAAAAAATTCAATTGCAAAGATTAAAATTACAGTATAAATGTTCGGCTATTACTTGAAAAGTTTTAGATTATACTGTTTTTTTTGAGAGAATTTTGGATATCTTTTTAGGACTAAGCGAGTATATATAAATGTTTTAACGCGATTGCTCTTATATTTTTTGTTAATCTTTATTTTACATAAATAATGCAGCAAAAATTTTATAATTCGCACAACATGCGGGTTACCCACTAGTTAAAAATACTTCAGTGACACTTACCATAAATCTAGAGGGTTGTAAAAAAAAAAAAATCATTTTATTGCACTTGGGAATTTTATAGGATAATTATAACATCAAGGGAAGCAATAACAAACAGGATTCTTAAATAGCAAAACAAGGGATGGACATAACAATTCAGATTCTTAAGTTTTAAAAGTTTACTAATTGATCCTAATTCAGAATTCTTAATAAATTTAATTTCAATCCAGAGATATCTGGAATCTTGAATTTTAAGTCCAACAATTATTTAAGTAATTCACAAATTGTAAAAGATTTATATCCAGGTACATGTGGTGGTAACAGATCTAGATGATACTTGGGCCTCTCTTTTTATTTGAGGGTCATCACAGGTTAAACTATCATGTGTAAGTATGGGTCTGCTATAGTGATCAAGGTGTGTTTTGCTCTTTCAATTTTAAATTTTATGAATTTTTTGTGTGGGAATTGTTAATTGAGTATTGATTATGGTGTTTTCTTTGATTTTCTAACCAGAATTTATTTATGCTGGTGGGTTTTTTTTCTTTTGATATTTTTGGATTTTACTCTGTTATATATTTTTTTTTCTATTTCCCATCGTGCATTTGAACCGTAAACATGGTATTTTTAACTCATGGAGAAGGCAAGAACTATTGAAACTATAACAAGCTATCAGTTGAACTGAGAAGATTTCACATTAGTTTTTCTTTTGTAGTTTAGATATTTTAGATATTAAAGGAGTGAATATATTTCAGTGATTAATACACACACTTTGGTGTGCCAAAATAAAAATTGAGAAGTTAATTAAAGCAATATGGATCAACACGAGAGACCTGTAATGAGTGATTTCATGATATGCACATGCGTCAACTATGCTGCACTCGAAACTTATTGACATACATTAGGATCCATTTAATTTTCTCATTAATTTTATCTTATTGGCTCATTTTACTTTTGTAAGTTTCTTCATTGTATGTTTTAGTTAGTTCTTTACTTTGTTCATCAATTTTATCTTATTTACTTATTTTCTTTTGTAAGTATCTTCATTTGTTAATTTCTTCATTGCATGTCGTAGTTAGTTTCTTTACTATATTTATCCCCCCCCCAAAGAATAATTTGAATGGTTCTAATTTTAAAAATTCACTAGTGCCACAGTGTCGATAGTTGCCCGGGCACTACACACACACACATATATATACACACATATATATGATATATTGTGACAATGGTATTACCTCATCTTGCCATCCTTGGTTGTTGTTATTGATTAGATGAATTTTAGACGGTTAAAACAATTAGTTTACTATGATTGAGTTTTGGAACACATGTTCTTTGTACTTGACTGATATGTTGATTTTCTTTAATTTAATTATGCTAATTAAGTGTGAGTAATTTGAGAAATAAAATTTTGAGTTATTTTAAAGATCTTAATTAATTGAGTAACGAATCTAGTCAATTTGGATTTAATATCTAATTAATATATATGTATAAAATAGAATTGTTGTTTCTAAAAGGCATAATTTAGTTGTGTGCCCTAACTCAAATAATGACTGTGATTCGAGTTCATACAATATAAGCACCAATAGTATTAATTTGATTTAGACGCATATTAATCATGTAAGGAATTTTGTGGACCTATCAAGATGGGAAATGTCATATTTATAGCTTAGAGATCTAGGAATTTAGCTTCAATTGTATGAAGATGATAATCGCATTCAAAACAACTGATGAAGAATACTAGTATCTCCAGTTACAAACGTGCATCGATCAAGTAACAAATTACTAAATGTATAAACATGTGTAAAAGTTTAAGAAATTCATTTCGAAAACACAAAAGAAAAATTTTGATAAAATGGCTAATACTACCTGAATTTGACAAGAAATTTTGAACTGTTATGATTGAATGGGTTTTGGACTATAGATGTTTTATTTTTGAAGCCCTTAAGATTCCAAAATTTTTTTTTAGGATGTTTGAAAACCAATTTCCATTATAATGTTACAAGCAAAGGTTCTCGTAAAATTTTTTTGGGAGATAATGCATTTGATTTATATTAGTTCTCTTTTAGAAACTTTAATATAATAACTTTATACTAGTTGAATTATCATAAAATAACTGTAAGACTTATAAAAAAAAAAGAAAAGAAAGAAAATGATAAAGGAAAAAAGGTAAAAAGAAGAAAACATCCAGCACCAACCAACACCATGTTTTTTGCCTTAATTCTTAGAGCTAGACAAAACTTAAAAATCAAACAACATGGTTTTCAACTGAACATCCTGGTGTTTTAGCACACAACATGGTTTCTCGATTCTTTCCGTCTTTCAAATTTTGATCCCTAATAGAGAAAATAGAAGAACGAGAGAAGTTTGAGCTCATCTTTCGAATAGAACAGCTAGACTTGATATTAGGATGGTCGATTTCAAATTCATATTGCAGGTATCGTCCCAAAATTAGTTTGGTTATTCATACAACAGAGAATCTTCATGAAACAATTCATAAATTAAATAGCAATCTAATTAGTCAAGGAATCAAACTTGCAGTAGAAAAGTTAGGGT